TAGATGTTATATCAAAGGAAATCATTAAGATGGTAGGATTAATATAATCAACAAAGAACATTAATGAAAATTACAGCTTATAGTTGAAACTTGATAACCAGTATATCCCATCAGAAATTATTGGCTTGAAATCTCAAAGAATGCCAATAATGATAGTGAGGAGGATGCTGGTATCTGGCGAAAACTTATCCTTTGGTCTTCAGTAAGAATTACCCAATATTTATGGTGTGAAGTTTCAACGAGTTCATAAAATATTAAAATCAGACTGGACAAGAGACAAGCTTATAATATGGATAAGTGAATTGGAATATGGATAACTGAGCGACATTCCATTCCAAACATGATCAATATTAAACAAAAGACGTGATCATCAACTCCAAAAATATTTCAACGCGGAAACAGGCAAAAATAGAAGATAAAAATGGCCTCATCAAAAATATAATGCAAAAGGTACCACTGGAAGTAATTACAGACTTAACCTGTTTATATGGAGAGGAAAATTCATATATAAAAACGACGGAAATATATCGCTCGTTAGGGAGGTGAATATTTTAATCCAAAAATGAACAATGAAATGCAAAATAGCATATAAGTAACATGTGACCAGTTCTTTAGAGATCACAAGAGAAAGTAACGAGGAAATGGTTAAGACTGACTCCAAGAATGCATCATTTCACAAACTTCATCCCTGAAAGATCGATAGAATTAAAGAAAATGAAGAATATTTTATGTCAGAAAACGATGAAGATGAGGTCTATACAGAAGATTGCATCAGGAACTTTAAATACCAAATTTCAGTTTAAAGGAGGATTGTTTTTTTTTCTAGGAGAATCATTATTCCCATTATTTGTGATAATCATGAGAGCGCCCAATTTCGATCTAATTGTTTAACATAAAAATTAAAGTAATATTAAATACTAAAAGAACTGTTACAGATTGCAAATGCCAGGATCGGAATGAAATTTCAAAATAGCCATGCACATTTGTGCAGACAGACAAAACAAAAGCAAATATGTAAGAGCCACAAGATCGACTTTGAAAATTTCTATTTTGTGTTCTCGCAAAAGAAATCATAAAGAGTGGCATGCCACCAGAATAATTTACATGACACAACCCAACTTGAGAATTTCCATTTGCGAGACACTGAAGGTAGCAACATACAGGATAATCCGAAAGTGGTGTTTATAATTTATGCTTTTATGCGAGCATTGGTAGAATGATAATTGCCATGTCCTCATTATTGTGCAATTCTGTAAAGGTTTATGTGCAGTTACCTTATATACATGAATGTATGTTTTGTTATCTTGTATCATATTTCTTTTATCTGACAAGTGCATATGGCGATGGTTCTGGAAATATAGCGAGGGGGGGCAATAAACTAAAAGTCACACATGTTAATGATTTAAAATAGATATTACTGTGTATTCCGAAAAAGCAAAAAGTGAGGTAATGTTACAGAACTGAGGTTATGATCAGGGCTTTAAGTGATTGGTCAGAATACATTGTGAGGTGTGGTTTTCTGACACAGATGGAATACTTTTGTCTCGGTTTTGCATATAAGTCTAAAACAGCGCGATGTCAAACGAGGACCGCAGAAATTTTAAGCGTCGATATGCTGTTCACACCTAAGTTCGGGGGACATGTTAATACCACCCGCGGAGTGGCGCTAAGCCAACGAGCAGCATGCGTTCCTTTGAAGTCCTTCCTCCTGCTCTCTCGTAGAATCTAAACTGCCAGATCTGTTCCTTTCCGTTAATCAAACGAATCAGAGAAAGTAACCATCTTTTCGTTAATACCATCTTATGCAGTAGTGTTGTGATGCAGTGACGACACGGAAACCAGGAAAACACAGATTACATTAAATATATTTTTAATTCATTCATTTAAATCAATGATTCTCAACGTGGGGTGCATGCCCCACCGGTGAGGTATGGCAATATTTTGGTAAGGTATGCGTAGGATGTGCACCCTTCGGCTTCCTATACGAACAAAATAAGTGGACAATTCGAGAATAAGTTATTAAGAGTGAATTGTATTCTAGTGATTCTGAGTGAGCGTGTTAATGTTAATGCGTGTATATGTATATACAAACAAGTAGTTTTTGTGTATTTACGTACATGTGTAATTGGCATGCAGGGTATTTCCCGTCTCCCCACACTCGCGTGTCCCTGTCAACAAAGGAGAGGGAATGACGCTCGTCGCTGAATGAGCCCATGTTTTGTCGGCCAGTCAGCGCGTGGAACATTCAGTTGGCTTCCTTCACATGAATTGCAGTAAAATCTTGAGTATTTATGAAATAAAAATAACTTACAGAATTTCAGAAATACCAAAGTGAATTTTAGAAATAACAAAGTGAATTTTAAAAATAACAAAGTGAATTTTAGAAATACAAAGTGAATTTTAGATATAACAAAGTTCAACATGGCCCCAAATCGTTTCGGAACCACTGATTTAAATGATACTATGGAAAAAAAGTTAACCCTCAAGTCACACAAACACACACACACACACACACACACACAGATAGATAGATAGATAGATAGAGAGAGAGAGAGAGAGAGAGAGAGAGAGAGAGAGAGAGAGAGGGTTATTTCAATTGGTTCCATTATAGTGGCGGTGTTAACGAAACATATTTACTAGACTCACCTTTTTATGAAAGTCAATTCCTGATTCTGGTTTGCATTCTGTTAAGCGATGTAATGATTGCAAAGAATATAACATCAAACTCCAAGAAAGTAAATCCGTTTTCAATTGGAAATTCTATACTTCATGTCGACCTCACTGCAGCATATGATCACATCAGCCTTCCGATATTCCAAATCATCTGAATGCATCGTTCGAATAGAGGTACTGCAAAATTGTACATGTCTAGTGTAGAAACCAATAGTGAAACATCTCAGCAGGATTACAAGGTGGAAATGAGAGCTCCAATCTATGTAGTCTTATGTCCTGCTCATTTACAACACGTATGTGAAGAAATGGGAACATTTTAACATTCCATACCGCAGCCCCAAATAAATCTACCAATAGATCAAGTTTTCCCTACGGAGGCGTGCAGTAATGTACTGGTCACAAGTAGCCCTATGTAGACGATAAAGGTGTATTTATAGTTCCGATAAGAATACTCTTGAGCAGAAAATCAATGCCCTTTGCCAAGTACGTTAAGAAATGGGACTCAAAATAAACCTTTCCTAAACAGAAACTATGATATGGAAATAATGTAAAAGCGGCCACGATACTTACCTTGAATCTTTCATAAAATTCGAGATGTAGATTTAGTAAATATAAAACATTTTAAATACCTCTGTTAAGGGATCTGTTATAAAAATATTAGTATTGCGAGACCGGAACTACCTACACAATAGACTCTTCCATGTCTATATTAAGTATGCGACACAACACTCTAGAGAGTGAGTGACATAGAGGGACAGTGAGAGTCTAGTACGACTACCAGTATTGGACACTAACATATAGTAAGCTCCGCTTACACTATCTCTGTAACCTGTTGTTAATATATCTTTCTTACATCTAATCCGTGTTCCGTGTTTTCCTTCTGTGCTCCCAACTTTGGCTCCACATCAATTAGCATGGGAGATATGGAAAATGAAGATAGGATAGGCTTCGCTAAATGTAGTTTGGCGCAACACTGCAAAATGATACATAGCCAAAACATTAAGGTTAAAAGTCGAGCCATATTCCTAAACAGCGTCGTCCGATCGAGACTTGTATATGGATGTCAGGCATCAAACCATTCTGGGAAAGCGGTTGTAAACGTCTTAGTGTTTCGATGGGTACGTGGCCGAGTGGTTAGAACGTTCGCATTCTGAACATGAGACCCGGGTTCGAATCTCACCATATCAGGAAGGAGACTTTCTGATGCTATCGGAATGGAGGGGTCGATCCCAGTGTGCAGCATCTTTGGAAAATGCCTGAAAACCATACAACGGGTTGACACTGAGTGAAATTCGGTAGACGGAACCCTTGGGGGACGTCGATGGCTGTGCTAGCAGGAAGTCCCAATTAATCGTGTCCGAGGGCAGTCATCGTGTCCGAGGACATGCGCGTTCTTGTCGTGTTCAAAATGTTGATAACACGCTCTTTCCCAGAAACTGTAACTACACTCTGCTCAACATAATTGCAGTATAATTCACGGAGTGATGAAGAAACACAAATGCGCCTGAGCAAGCGCCTGCGACAGGGATTGGCTAGCATCCCTAGTTGATGGGTATCTTTGAATATGAGTGGCCAGCTATACTGTTTGGTTATTTCTGAACGAGTTTGTCACCATGGCTGACATCCATATGAGAGAACTAGGGCGTTCTTTTTAAATAGAAAATCCAAAGAACTAGCGTATGAATCATGTTCAGGATATCAACGTATCGCTAACACTTTCTCAGTGGATTTAGTAAATAAGATATTTAAAAAAAAAATAAATAAATAAATAATCATTATTTTCTCTATTTTTCTTGAATCTCCTTTCTATTTTGCTATCAAAACCTTTTTTGCTTTTTGAGTTTATCCTTTTTTTTCCTCGGGCTCTCCTAATTAAACCTCGTTTACAGCACATAAACACGGACGATGTTTTTTTTGTTTAGTGAAATTCTGGCACGGATTTGACAACCGAAAGTTAAGTTATCTGATCCTTAATCAGATGTCATAACGTGAAAAATATATTTGCTTTTCATTGTTTCCCTGAAACTTTAACTTGTTATTTTCCTTTTAGCATTGCTTGATTCCTGTCCGATTCCATCCTGCGTTTGAAGAATTAATGAACTTGTTTGTTAAATAAGTTAAAAGTGAATAGGATAAGCACGATTCCCTTACATTTGATTTGCATTCTGTTCCTGGAGAAGTGTCTTTTGAATCGATGCTTTTTCTTCATCATTTCACGTATTTTGCATTTCATATAACTTCACATTTCCTTCTAAACTCATTTATTTTATCTTTTCCTATTTACACTTTTGTATGTTTTCTTTGGTTTTAATTTTTGATATTTATTTATGCAGTTTATATTTCTTTATGCTGTTTTAATTTATTGTCATCAATTCTTCGTTTTATTATTACCATTTCTTATTCTACTCTTTTATTTGCTTGATTTATTCATTCTTCTCTCCTTAGGCCGTTTCCTTCTTTTGTTAGTTTTACATTTCCTCCATTCAATCTTTTCCATCTTTTGCTCATTTTACACTTTCTAATTTCTTACATCTTTTTCCTTCATTTGCGAGTTTTATCCTTTTTTTTCTCCCTTTTTTTTCAACTTTTATAATTCTTTCTTTTATTCTTTCTTTGGTTCGTTTTATTCTTTCTTCTTTGATTTTCCCGTTGATTTTTTTTTGTTTTATTCTTTTTGTTCTCTTCACGTCCCTTCTACTGTTTGTTTTATAGTTTCTTCCCTTCTCATCATCCTTGTTTCTTGTGTTCGTTTTATACTTTCTTCTCTCACCTTACTCCTTCTCTAGCATGTTTTATTCTTTCTTTTCTCTTTCTTCTCTTTCCTTGTATTATTTTCTTTCTTCTTACCCCTTCACTTTCCTTCTCTTTTTTGTTTTATTCTTTCCCTATTCTCTTTCCTAAACTTCTTCGTTTTGATCTTTTTCTATCGTCCTTATCATTCTTTCTCTTGTTCATCTTATTATTTCTTCGCCCACTTCATTTTTCTTCTCTTTTTTCTTTTATTATTTCTTTTCTCCCCCTTCTCTTGTTTGTTTTTATACTTTCTTATCTCCCTCTTTTCTTTCATTCTCTTATTGGTTTTATTCTTTCTTCTCTTCCACTTCTTTCTCCATCTCTTGTTTGTTTATATTTTCTACTCATCCCTTCCTCTCTCCTTGTCTTGTACGTTTTCTTCTTCTTCTTCTTTTTCTTCTTCTTCTTCTTCTTCTTCTTCTTCTTCTTCTTCTTCTTTTCTTCTTCTTCTTCTTCTTCTTCTTCTAATCTTTTTTGTATTTTTTCTTCTCCCTGCCTTCTCTTTTTCATTCTCTTTTTTTGTTGTATCTTTTATTCTCTCCCTCTTCTCTTTCGTAGTCGTTTTCGTTTTGTTCTTTCTTCTCTTCCTTCTCTTTCTTTCTCTTGTTCGTCTTATTCTTTCTCCCCATTTCTGTTTCCTTCTTTTTCTTCTTCCTGTTTTGTCCCTTTTCTTCTTTACGTTTTCTGATCGCTTTCCTTTTCCTTTTCTTTCAACTTTCTTTCAACTTTTCCCCTCTTTTATCTTTTCGCTTTGCACTTTTCTTTATTTATTTATTCGCTAAATGTTTCACCTTTCATTGTCATCGTCTAATTATTATTTGTCTTCTTCTTCCATACGTATTTTCACATACTGAGCTAGAGACAACATGCCACGATGCATCTTGCTATGTTATGGGAAACTTTTCATTATCCACACGCATTAGAATAAGTCTGATATCAATTCCGGAAAATGCTCAAGAATAAAATATATATTGTATATAATAAAGACGTTTATTTTACGAAATGTTTGGTTATAAATCACAGGTTTTAAGTTAAATATTCTTACTAATAGCAAACCATAAAGTTTTTAATGCTTTAGTCACAATCATTATGTTATCCTAAATTGTGAAAAACAAAATAATCTAATATTAGAGTTTTACTAGGCCTGTTGGATAATTGGATAATTATTTTATTTTAATGGATAGAAAAAGGATTTCCATAACACTAAAGAGACACAGGATACAGCATACATATGGAGGCGACTGAAGAACATGTCCACTTGACCATGGAAAGAATATTGGACTGAAATATTTGTGCTACAATTAATCTCAAAACCTCCGACAACGGTAGAAACTCTGGGAAGTCAACAAGGCGATTGAAACAAGATAAACAAAAATAATGATGCAAATTATTTGTCTTCTTCTTCTATACGTATTTTAATATATTGAGCTAGAGACAACATGCCAAGATGCATCTTGCTATGTTACGTTAACTTTCCATTATCCAAACGCATACGTTTCACAATAGTGAGACTATCTCCTTTCAGAACTTCATAATACGAAAGGAAAGTCAAAAGAATCATTCATCAGAAACAAATGATTGATATAACCATGATAAGTGGCGTTTGTTCAATAGTGACAATGTTCCAATTAATTTAAACAAGGTTGGATAAAGTGAATAAACAACTGAGAAAGTGAGTTAAATATTATTGGAACTACAATTAGAAAGTCACTAGCCATCGCCAAACAAATTTTCGCTGCTAATGAGTAATTTTGTGGACTAAATAACATCATCCCCGATGTTTTTCATCAAATCATATCGAGAACTCCACCGTCTAGACTATCATATATGACAGATTTGCTAAACTTGAAGAAGGCTGAAGTGAATATTTTCTTTTATCCAGACAGTACATTCTTCTCAATTCTTTGTTCGCGGTTCCAAAACTGGTAATAATTCATTTTCTTGTTGATACTTTCTTTAAATATTTCATTGAGCTGGTGCTACCGTATTGCGTGATCTGGCAATTCAGCTCACAAATCCTAAGTGGAACAAAAGCTGTAGAAATGCGTGCTTTTATTCTTAAGACCATGTACATTAAATAATGCCTGGAGATTACAGCGGCAAAACGTTGAGACAAATCCACTAAAGATAAGATGTATTGACAAAAGAATAGTTGAAATATTGTTTGCAGAGTTTAAAGTAGTGACTTGTTGACTTTGATCTGTGTGATATAGTCATTAAAAAATTATTAGGACCGCTAAATAAATAAAAAAAATGATTGTAAAATTATCTATAATATCAGATGAGTTTACATCAAGAGATAAAAATCGATACTAAAAAAATTCAAAATATCATTTTATTTTCATTTACTTTAGATATATCTAACTATGGTAACTTGATTCACTTTTTGAAGAGAAATTCTTCACTATGATGTTACTGGCTCAGTCGACTTTGGTAATGATGGGAAGTTTGTCCTTTTGGCGAATCAAGAGAACACCGACGCTTCTAGCTTTAAAGTAAGTGACCACGAAACTATCTTTAATAAATATATCTCAATAAGTAAATGTTTTTTATTTTCTTATTGGCTGCTATTTTATATAAGGGGGAAATGCATTTTAAAAATGTGTTCGCGGTCACCATTCTGACAAAAATATGGATACAGGTAGTTTCGATCGTCGCTCCGAAAGTATTGCGTCGTATTTTATTATTTTGGCCCATAACTTTAAAGGCGGATGTTATAATTTTGGCAACAGAAAGCGAAGATTTCCACCAATAAAGATTCGTTGAAAACAGTAATTAGCTATATGTTAGCATGGAAAAGTGGTGTCTCGTAGAAATCGTAATGAAGTAGTGATGTATTATTTAATACCTCCATGAAGAAAGAACGCACACATTGGAATTTATCGACGTTTGCTGAAAAATTAAGCAGAATCAGTGAAATAAAAAAATATATAAGTGATTGCTTATATGATTCACTATTGGCGATAGAGATCTTTGGGAAGAAAATAAGTTGATCGCCTTCGGTGATGTAGATTTTCATTCATGTGGCATACATTCTCTTGTTTAAGTCTATAGGCATTGCTGATGACGACATCTAAATTATTATTTTTCAAACATTGATCTTCGCAGTGTAATATTATGAATTCTGTATCTATCGTTGTTCCGTGGAATCAAAGAAATAATTACTATTGTAACGTCCGACATAATCTTTTACATATATCTTTAATATATTTAGTTTTTGCGAGCATAAGATACTGGTGCATCGCTTGCAAAAAACATCAACGGTGCGGACTCTGTGAGAAAAACAATGTTCAGGATTGCAAAGATTGTACTAAGAGTTCCATATTATTTTGAAGATGGAAACTACTCTTACTTCTTCAGACCTTTTCTGACTTTCATTTGCTATTCTCGATGAAAGATGGACTAAGCGGAAAAAGATGTCCCTGGAAATAATGATGGTGACATTATTGTTATAAAGTGGATCAAATCCTCTGATGTAGATTTTTACTCAAGCAGAATGAAGTCTCATGCTCATATTCGTCTAAAGTGCTTTTGTGAATAAATAATGTTTTTTTCTGAAACGTTACTCTTCCCGACGGTATTATTGGGAATTCTGTATCTGTTGTTGTTTCCATGGAATTAAAGAAATAATTACTTTTGGAACGACCTACCATAATCTTTTATATTTATCTTTAATATTTCTAATAAAATAAAAAAAGAATGTCACTTTATCAAACAAATCTTGGCCGTTCGAATCAGTGATGACGTGGAATTTACAAAATTATCCGTCTGAATAGAAATTGGAGAGTCTACCAAAGAAAAGAAATGAAAAAAAAAACGAGGGCATCAGTCCGAAGAATTATTATCATAATAATGTAAAGACAACAACTATAAATGATATAGATGCAGACAATAGATAATTTGGTGGTAGAGATAGTTGCTTTTTTACCATCGGTATCAATGGTCGTTTTTGTTTTAGTTGAGACAAAACCAGTAATGATGTAAAGACAACAACTAAAAAAATATTTCAAGCGAGACAAGTATGCGATCTAAACCTCAAATCTTGAATGTTTAAAAAGTGGAAATTGAATTGTCAAAATGAGATCAACTCATCCTAAGACATTTCTTGTGTTTGCCTCATACTCGTTTCATTACGAAAGGCAAAAAATAAAGTCTTTGCTCCCGCTTTAATGGATTAAGTATGAGAAAAGAATGGACTCTGTAACATTTGTTGGCAAAATATTTTCATCCTTGAGCAAATTAATTGAAACAAGACTAATTCCGTTATTATTTATATGTTTTGTATTTTTCCAATGAAACATGACCCAGTGCACATGTTAGTACTTCGTATGTCCATTCTACGAATCCATGCAGATTGACCATAGATTTTCGATTGGATTTAAATAAGGTGGTTTTCCGGGCTGGTCTAAAGGACTTTGATTTGCTCATTGTTAAGACAGTCGATACAACAGTGTCTGAACGTGATAAAAATCTGATGCAATCATGATTGACGCAATATTTTTCAAGTTCAAACAAATTTCATCTTACACCATGAAAATAGATTCATATTACTGCACACCACTGCAAATGACCTAATCTGAGGAAAACATAAAAACTGATGACACCCTGTTACTCCAATGGGTCTAAAACTGACCGTATGGTGAAAGAAAGTAAACTAAAGCGCTTGTTTCAATTGATTTGCACAAGGATGAAGAAGACAGACATATCTTAGTCTGTATATAATAATTGGCATCCATCAGTTTCGAGAGAGGATGGCTCTGACCCAGAATGTTATGCCGCAGGATATATTATAGCTGTACAGTCCGACACTGGAGTGACAGTCTCAACTGAAATGAATGCACGTGAAGACGCTCTCCCCGTTGTCGCAGTGTTATTTTCTTTCCTTCGAGTAGGCTTCTCCCTAGCGGCAAGCCACTGTTTCTTCGTTCCTCGCTCCAATCCTCGATGTAAACCGCAGCTCCAACGTCAGCGACTGTTGACGACGTCTTCCCACCTATCGATCTACATGTCCATCACCCGCATGTCACTTTTACAAATGTCTTTGAAACGAAGATGTATACATATATATAGATGTGTCTGTGAAGATGGAATTTTTTTAGGGCCTAAGTAAAATATTGATGTAACAGAATCATCCAAACAGCGCCTTTTTTGGATTCAACTGTGAACTAACCTAAGCTTTATAAGATGTGAAAACGCATTTTATTCATATGATTTGGTTTGGAGTTATGAATATGCAGGTAGTGTAGCAGTTAGCGGCTAATTTGATTATAAAAAAAGAAGCATGGATGCTTTTTCAGAACGTTTCAGTATTAATCTCTTCAACTCTAGGGTCAATGGCTTTCTATACACGTATAATATTCACTTCCTCCTATCACCTCTTATATTCATATAACACACCTAATTCTCTAGCTACTATCAGGAGTGACTATTGAACCTTGTATTTGGAGAGTCGACATCAAATTTTAACTGAGATCATTAGCTCACTTTATAACAAAGTACGAATCGTTATCTTCTCCCGAAATCGATGGGTCAATAAACCACGTATTCTTGGTTTTCTAGCATTGGTTGGCAAACATTGAAGGAGAAAAACTCAAATCCTGTTTGTATGTTAATGGTTAGATAGAAGCTTTCTAGAATGGTTTAGTAATTGTGGGTTGTTGACCCCAACCCCGCCAAATATCTGGAATACTCCGGTGAATATGTCAGCCCGACAAAACGAACAATTGTATCAGGAGAAATCAACTCTTTCTCTCTGGTTTCTTCTTCATTTAGGAATGAAATA